CGGGGGTTCAGTGTTTTGAGAGCACCCACATCTCCGCAGGCTTCGTCTGTGGACCCTGCCCAACGGGTTTCCATGGAAACGGAAGAACATGTACAGCAACAGGTGAGAGTGAAGCGGTTCCTTATCATTTTAGATATGGATAAAAACAAGATGGATTCAACAAGTGGGACTTACAATCAGGGGTAACATGACACCACCACCTCTAGTTTTTTAAGTCATATCCTCTAACTCCCAGTGTTTTACAGGTCAGGGAACAGTCACCAGCGGAGCAGACGGTCATTTTCACATTACCACATCAAATTCCAGCAAGGAAATGAGTCCTACCTCCTCCTCCTCTTCTTACTCCTCTTCATCATCTCCCACCTCAGCCAGACGAACCCCTGACCGGAGGACGAGACCAGAAGCCACCATCTCGACCGTCAGAAGAGTTTCGTCCACCGACAGGAAGACGACAGCGACTCCACAGAATCAAACTGTAACAGAAGTGTTTGCCTCCACTGTCCTCAGAGGTCAGCCCAGTGGGGTGGAGCTGACCCCCGACCTCACCACCGGGGTCAGGTGGGGGAAACCGTCTCACCACGTGACCTGCGCCGACTCTCCCTGCTTCCCGGGTGTTCCCTGTGAGCCCACCGTCACCGGGGCCTTTAGGTGTGGACGCTGCCCGTACGGTTTCACTGGTGATGGAGTCATATGTAAAGGTAGAGAGGAAATCGACCTTCTGAATGTACAGTACTCTCATTATGACACAACATTGTATTATTCATGTACAATATCTGGTAATATACTAACTAGTGTGAGACAGAAATTCATATTTCTTTATGTCAATTAAACGAAATGATATAATATAAATAACACAATATTATTCATAGGTGAAGCCTAATTTGTGCCTTATGCGTTGTTAGAGAGGCACCACCAAGTAAACATGTGATTTACGTGTTTCAGCCGTGTGCAGGTATCAGTGTGGGAGGAACATGGAGTGCTCTCTGCCCAACACATGCACCTGTAAAGAAGGTTACACCGGATACAACTGTCACATAGGTGAGAAGGAGACGGGTTTGATTCATTAAATCGTGTCGCGCTTCAGGTAACTAAAGCCCACATGTTGGTCCATGAACATGAAGCTCGGAGTGCTCTGTACATGGTCTACATCGGTAATAAATACATATCATGGTAAATATCGTAATTAATGTTTGTGTTGATCAACCGATAAATCCATCAAGCTCAGGTGCAAAAGTAAATCAACGCTGGCTACATATATACAAAGTACATAAGGAATACACATTATATCATGTCACAGTAATAGTTGGTACTTCATATAAGGCTCAAACTGAATATTAATCAGAAATACCAACTACATAAGTTGTCTCTGTCTAATAATCTGGTAATACAGCGAGTAAAACCACAGACAAAGATTAAAGTACTATATGTTATATATAGAGAAACACACAGACGCATGATGTAGGAAGATGCATCACAGGAAATGTAAAATATTAATTGTTAATATCAATTTTGTGAAGATTCTTCTCCCTCATCAGAACTGCCTTGTTTCTTCTCCCGCAGCCGTGTGTCGCCCCGACTGCAAGAACCAGGGAAAATGTGTGAAACCAAACGTGTGTGAATGTCCTGCGGGCTACAGTGGCCCCACCTGTGAGGGAGGTAACCTCAACTCGGTTTAATATGCTGACACACACACGTCATGATGAGTATTGTGTTGTTTACAACCTGTGTCGTTGTGTAGCGAGCTGCGAGCCGCCCTGTCAGCATGGAGGCACCTGTTTGGCCCGAAACCTGTGCACCTGCCCCTACGGCTACGTGGGACCCAGATGTGGAATCAGTGAGATGTTACTATATTTATATTGTATTATATGTGCATACTATTAATACTTTGACCTGGTAAGACATTACAATTTGTATTAAACACTTAAATTGTTTGCTTAAGTTACACAATAACCCAAATGTGAAAATAACAAGTGTTCACCTGTAACTCTGCAGCGTGAGTGATGATATGATTTCAGTTCTCTTGGTTTCAGTTGATAAACGTTTGTGTACTTGTATATAGAAGTGTGTGTTTTAATCATGCTTGTGTCTCAGTGGTGTGTAACAGGCACTGTGAGAACGGAGGCGAGTGTGTGTCACCTGATGTCTGTCGATGCAAGCCCGGCTGGAACGGACCGACATGTAACTCAGGTAGCATCATGTGTGTTCACACTGTGGCTACATAGCGTCTGAATGTTTGCTTCACATGAATCATAAGTCTTTTATTATCCAGGCTGCATTTCCAGGTGTCACGAAAATGTGATCTTAAAGGTGCAAGATACTGTAGGTTTTTAAAAAAAAGGTTTTCAGACTGCAGTATAAAAAGATAAATGATATAAAGATAAATATTCTGCATCTCATTGTAGCTTCTTGTCCGCTCTGCAGCTCTGTGTAACCCCGTCTGTCTGAATGGAGGAACATGCATCAAGCCCAACATCTGTGCCTGTCCCAGTGGCTTCTATGGCTCTCAGTGTCAAATCGGTAAGTTGTTCTATGGTAAATTAATTATTCATTTTAGATCATCGTGTTTTTCGGAATATTTAATAATCTGTTCGGCCTCCAGGAATTAATTTCGCTTCCAAATCTTAGACTTTCCCTGTTCTCACAGAGGTCAGAGGTCAGGGCCAGGTCACACAGATCTAGATCTCGTTAAGGGGCTTTGCTCTGAATTATTATAACATCAGCTCAGAGCACCAGGAGAGGAGCTGCGGAGAGAAGTCAACCACTTGCAACCACTGTAGAATTTTTGTTCCTTCCATTTTAGCCTGAGGATGAAGGTTTTGTCAATATTTCTAAAAAAATTAATCCACTTACTGAACTGAATGGTGGGTATTACCCATGATCCCCGGCTTCCTGAACCAGAAGAGCTGCTGAAACACTATTTTAAACCAAAGGACTATCCATTGTTCATTTCTTTTGAAACCTCCAGTTGAACATTGTTGTTGTGTGTTTCAGCCGTATGTAATCCTCCTTGTAAGAATGGAGGTCAGTGCATGAGGAACAACGTGTGCTCCTGCCCCGAGGGCTACACGGGAAAAAGGTGTCAAAAGAGTAAGTGAGTTTACTGCCCACAAAGTCGAATGCAGCCTGATGCAGAAATCATTGTTCTGAATACAATGTGTTCCAGGCGTGTGTGAGCCGATGTGCATGAACAAAGGCAAGTGTGTGGGACCCAACACGTGCTCCTGTGCGTCTGGATGGAGAGGCAGCAGGTGCAACATACGTGAGTGTCTCTGTGTTTTGTGTCAAGAATTAATCCTGGCACAGGCTTGTTGACGCTTCGGGTAGATAAAACGGATTTCAGGTTTTATGCTCAAACTCTTGATCAAGCTGCCGCTGTGTCTTCCTCTCTGTTCTGACTTGTAGCCGTCTGCCTGCAAAAGTGTAAAAATGGCGGCGAGTGTGTTGGACCAAACACCTGCCACTGTCCCGTCGGCTGGGAAGGCCTGCAGTGTCAGACCCGTGAGTTTATTCCTGATAAAACAAGATTTTATATATTTATGAAAAGTGAAATCATGAATATTGATTGTATTTTAAAATCATTCCTTCCTCAGCGATCTGTAAACAGCGTTGCCTGAACGGAGGGAGGTGTGTCCTACCGGATTACTGCCACTGTCGTAAAGGCTACAAGGGTCTGACCTGCACAGTGAAGGTCAGTGTGAGGTTCATATAATCATATAATATGAAGTTCAGTGGGAGAAGTACCCAACGGCTCTAATACCTTCAGGGTTGAAGGTTCTATTCCCTCAGAGGTTCTGCTTTGCCTCTCCTGTACAGGGATTGAATCCAAGCATCCATTTTGTCTGAAAGGTAGAGGGAGGATGTTTGGGAGAGAGGTTTAAATATTTCTCATCGTGCAACAGATGTAATGTTCTTCATCCAGATGTTTAGAGGAGTCTTGGGATCATTGACTACACTGTAAGTGATATTAAATGAGTTTCTGGGTTTTTATTTTTGGCAGAAATGCTTGGCTCTGTTACTTTATACAGGAGGTGCAGACTGCAGCTACAGAATACTCGAGAAACTGTAGTACTCTCTAAGTATAAAAAGACCGCCATCGCTTTTAATATGGAGAATAATGTAGTTTTGTGAAATCTAATTCTGTTGAATTTGTTTTACACCTTCACAGGCATCACAAGCATGATGGGAAAGAAGGAGAGAGAGACAAGGCGAAGGAAGCTACAAAATGCACAAAGCAAGATGAGAGCACCACAAGTTGTGTGAGTGTGTGTGTGTGTGTGTGTGTGTGTGTGTGTGTGTGTGTGTGTGTGTGTGGACGTTTGCATGTGCTTGAATGTGTGGCTGCACATTTGAGCACTAACAGAGGGACTTGATGTATTGCACTTGTCTTTGTGTCCCTGTGTATTTCACTACCTCAAGGCTGAAAGTCACACACATCTGTTGGAGTCATCAGCAGAGGTTTTATACAGATGTGAGTGTTTGTGTTAGTGCAGGATATCAAGTAGAAAAAGTCAACGGTTCATTCATAAGATGGAGGTTATTACCGAGCTTTTACTTCCCACTTTAGCCAAATTATAGCCTGGTTTAACTTTTACCAAACTGATGATGTTTGTTTCTTACTTTAGAGAGAATAAATAAATGTAAGTGTACTTTCTCATTCTGCTTAACTTAGATGATACACATCAGTAACTTGTTTTAGACTGAAGTCGTTTATATGAATATGTTGAAATTTAGCTGAATTACATTTTTAAGTTTTCTTTAGCGCTGTCTTTAATATATTGTTTGATCGGGCCCAGTTAAGTTATGGGCTGTCACGTATTTACACTGACAGTAAATCTAAGTATTAAAGTCATGACCGCCTGTTTGATTTAGGTTGTTTTTGAAATGTTTTATCAGCACCAGATTACACTGTGGTACAAGTCACATTTGACAAAATAAAGAAATGGATCTATTTCTATTCTTTAGTGGTTTTTTTTTTTAAATCAGCTTCAATGATTCATGCAATCAACTATTTTATTTATTTAATGACATAAATCACAGTAAAGTACATACATGTAGCATGTTTGCTCAGTCAAACAAGAATATAATAAAGGCTTGGGGATTAAAAAATAAGAATTACATCGTTGAAAAAAATGTAAAAACTACCAATGTGCAGCTAAAAAAATTTAACTCTCCTAGTAATCACAGAGTCCCTGATTGGGCCCTGTGGACCAAGTCACACTAGTGAGAATTCTTCCTCTCCTCGCAGCGAGGGCCAGAATACGGCGGGCGACAGCGGCACTTTTCAGGAGAAATACACTTCCCTCCATTCAGGCAGGGCTTCGTGCACACGGCTGCAGACAAGAGAAAAAAAAAACAAGGGTGTAAATCATTTGTAAAAACTGAGAAATTGGAAGAGAGTTTGCAACTGAAATTCAGAAACTGGCCACAAAGTCTGGTTGATGTCACATCTGGAAATCGCTGACTCAAAATCCCCTCAATAAACACGTAAGAATTTATATTTGTCTCGTCAGTTTGGGAAAACTATTATCTGGGGGACTTATGGGGGGTTCCTCTGGGGAGCTCAGGAATGTACGAACAAACTGAAAAGAGGTTGAACCAGGTGGAGAGGAAGAAGATAATTCATGGTTGTAAAGCTCAGTGATGTATGTAACGAGTGCTCCGTGTGTGGGACCAGTTTGAACTCACCAGTGTGGCAGGCACCGCCCAGCCATCCCTCCGGACAGCTGCAGATTCCTGGGGCCACGCAGATTCCCCCGTTCCTGCAGCCTTGAGGACAACTTGCTGCAGGGGAACAAATGATAGGGACATTCTCAGCATGCCAGGAACCATGTTTGAGTCTGCTACTGATGAAGATAAACGTTAATCGCGATGTAATACGGAGTTGGGACATGGCAGAGACAGAACTGTGTTCGGTGAATGTTCTGCGTCCATAGCTCCTCTAGATGCAGTATATTTGCAAAAAAATGTACTGCCAAGAACATCTTGACCATTATGAATAAGCTATAAAATGCCATTCATAACCGCTGCCACAGATAGATGCTTGTGAGGATCACTTCTCATCAAAAGCCTTAGAAATGTTTTAGTGGGCTCATTCTGATGAGGAGCTGCAGCTGAGAGACAGGCTCCATTTAAAGACTTTAACCCTTGGTGTTAACGGGGTAATTAGATACGGTTATAAACAGACCCTCTTGGCATTTCGAGCCGCTCCAGCTTGAGGGACAGATGCACTTGGCCACTCCGTTGACAGCAGTGCACTCCCCTCCGTTCCAACATCCTCCGTCACACGTCACTGCCAAGAGACAAACACGGATCACACCTGTCAGCAGTGATGTCGACAATATACTTATATATGTCTTTCAGCAGGATTCATTTCATATTTGCCCTTGTTTGACTTGCGAGCCCTGAAATGAAGCAATGTCTACTTACGACTCTTTCTCATCATAGTATTCATATGCCTACGTGGTTATTAGGTTTAATTTTACTTTTAAAACTACTAGGAGATCAAATGATCCAAAACTTCACCAGAAAATCGTAAGAAGGTCTGGTTTCTGTCCAGGTCCTTGTCTTTGACCTCTCAGATTTATTTTACGACCCAATCAGACCCCACAAGAATTCTCCTCAGTACGAGGATTGTTGTTATTTTGCCATAACATGTTTCTTTTTGCCAAAATGTCTTTGTCTAATGTAAACTTCCCCACCTAGGCAGAGCTACAGCCTGATACTGCCATCCTAACCATAGGGTTCACTTACTATATTGCACATTAAGGTTGAGTCAGTGGAAAAGTTTTGACTGAGAACTACTTCTGCAGTTTCATTTGTGGAATAATGTAAGTTCCGTACGTTCCGACAGGATGTTATAAATGTCTGGTAAAAGAGCAACAGTCGTGTGATGGAGCGAACGTGTGGATATCGTATCGCAAGGCAGAAAGAAATACAGGATCCAGCCTTTAAAGTTAATTTATGACGGATTTTGAATTAATCCACGACAACGTCCAAATCACACGGCCATGATCTTGTCAACAACCACTGGACCAACTGTGTATTTAATTCACTCCTTATAAACCAGCGTACCTTTGTGACAGTATCTTCCGCCGAATCCTGGGGGACATCTGCATTTTCCAGGGCGAAGACACTCCCCTCCGTTCTTACATTTGGGATAACAGTTGGCTGCATTCACACGAGAACACAAGAGATATATCATCTGCTGGTAATAGTTTCAGCCACAGAGTATTTAGGATGATCTAAATAAGTTGATTTTGCAGAAGGTTTAGTGATGAACACAAGTAATGTGCTCAACAACATTTTGGAAAGGAGCCTTATATGTCTTTTAATCAATATTTTCACATCAAGTAGTTTGACCTGACATGAAATAATGCAGCTCTGATGTATGTTGCATGAAAACAGACTAAAGAGAAACATAATATAGAGCTGCAGGGATTGGTCAGTAAATAAATTGATCAAATGTATTGTATTACTCATTTTCAAGCAAAAAGACTCAAACATTTGCTGCATCCAGCTCCTCAAATACTATGATTTGCTGCTTTTCTTTGTTTTATGTGATTACACACGTAACATATTTGGAATTTGGACAATTGCTTTGTCAAACAATCAATCTGGAGAGGTCACCTTTTCCAGACGAAACAATTAATGAATGAATTTGGTGAATATCGGTCACGAATCGATAACAAGGATAAAAGAAGCTCTTTGGTTTGTTTGACTGTTAAAGTCTACAAATAAACAGGAGATTGAATAAACACTTAACATCATAGTGAAAAGTCGGTTGAACAAATCTCTACTATTCTTTTTTAAATCAATATTGTCCAACAACAGTCACAACCCCAGATATTCACATTATACTGCGGTATTTTTGTTTCCACGGGTCACATTTAGAATTGTTCTGAGTTTTACACTAAATATATTTGATAAATGTAGATCCTCACCGAACTTGCAGGTCTCCCCCTCGTATCCTCTGGAGCAGAAGCATGTGTTGTTGCGGATGCAGATCCCGGCGTGTTCACACGGAGGCTCGCACGTCGCTTTGGGGTCGAACACGAACCCGACCGCGACTCCCCGCGGAGCGTCCGAGCCCGCGGAGCAGACACCGGCCAGGGCCAGGAGCGAGAGAAGCGACCCGGCGAGACCCGCGAAGCCCATGATGGAGGTGTCCGAACCGGGGAGAGAGAGAGAGAGAGGAAGAGACAGACAGAGACAGGCGAGTGGACGGAGATGGAGGAGAAAGTACCGAGACAACTCCACGTCGCCCCGGCAGCTTCAGGCGGGGAAAGTGCGACACCGGCAGGTCAGAGCCGGAGGCAGCCACCGGTAAGGCGGGGCGGAGCGGGAACAGTGTCCTGTGGTGATGGTGGAGGTGGAGGGAGGTTTGAACGTGTCCTCATGTCCTCATGTCCTCGTGTCCTCACACATTTATCACCGTTTATTAAAACTCAGGGTTTCTCTGAAAGAAGCTAACGCTAGCTTTAGCGGTTTAAGCTAACTAACTCTCGCCACGTTAGCTAGGTTAGCTAGCTACCGCGGTCGTTTCATTAAGAATGGGACAGCGACGGGCCACTGTTACAAAGCGGGTTTATAAAGTTTCATAAAGTTTAAACAATAAAGTAACGATAGCGATTTGAAGTCACGAAGAAGCTACTGTCCAAGTTCATGTGCTAAACTTAGCTGAAGCTAAAACAGTCGAAACTTTGCACAACAGCCGCACTCTGAAAATTCCCGATGATGCGCGTCTATTCACGATCTTACGGTACAGGTGCTTTATTATTATATTATTATACTACTGATTTGATTTTCATTATATTATTTGAATGAAATGTAATTAAATACATTATATTTATGTTATATTACATGTTATTATAAGAAAACAGATATTTCACCTCACTCTTTTTCACACACTGTCAGTATGTCAAGATTTTACTGGAGAATATTGGAGAATATTTTCATTGATGTAACTGCAGATTGTTTTTACATAGACAGGTTTGAGATGAATTCCTTCAAATTACATGTGATTATTCATAGCGAGCAGCGTTTAAAGCGTGTGGCAGCGTGTTATTTTCAGTAAGTGAGGCCTGGGTTAAGACGTGTTCATATAGAGCACATGTGGAAAAGCCATTTCCTTGTACATGGAAGTGCTGGGCCTATATGAGCTATGGGGAGAGGGGAAGTTCTGCTATAATGGCAATAACACAACCAATCAGCAGCGGATGTGGCTTCTCCACTGAGCCTCTCTCCAGTTAAACGTAGGAGCTGAAGGAAAGTTATTTTCCATACGATTCACTTTTCTTCTGCTCAAAAATCAAACTCACACTGTAGCTACTGATGTGCCATCATGTACAATGACAGTTCATCCAAACAGCATCCTCCTGTAACTTTTAACTTCCATTGGCGAGACTTTAAATCACCTCTCCTGCTCTGTCATTGTAAGCCAGTGCAGAGAAGCAGCTTCAGAGGCTGGAATAAAAATCAAGACAGTTTATCTTTTGGATTGACTGCAACACACACAAACACAGTGAAGGACGGGTTTGTTGAACATGGCTGAGTCCAGTCTTGGCAGAAAAGACAAAGCTTTAAACTCATTTTCCAGCTTGGACTGGGACAGACTGACTCTGCGTCTTCTCAGCTTAGATCCAAACAAATAGTGATTTTTTTTGGACTGGGCAGGGAAGCTGAATCAATACAGAATTTTTGGCACATGATAATCAATCATAATATAATTTAATTACAAAGCATTTCTATTTAAAAGAAGTGAACATTTGCACATCAATGCAGACATGATAACACAATACAGCCAAGACACAAGATAATAACAGATTATAAACAATGGTAAAAACTGAATATTGTCAGATTTATATTAAACAACAAAAAGTGCAAAAATTGACATTGATGGATAATGCGGGTGCTTTAATGTCAAAGATTTGTGAATGTTAATCAAATTTTGTGTCATACAATAAAAACATGTATCTAAATAATGTGCATCATATGGAACTTGAGATGCAAGTAAAATACCTTGGAGACGCACAGATACGTTTGTTCAGTAGTTGTGTATGTGATGGTTTTGTCTAGGTGTGTTTTTCTTTCATTGTTTTGGCCACATGTATCTCAGCTCTGGTCCAAACCACTGACCTGGATCTTTAGAGAGGAAGTGAACTGGAGCTTTAATGAGTCCAGCAGATGTGATCGCAGAAGACGTCGTGTGCTTTTAAGCAAGACGCTCATACTGAGTAACACAGTGTTATACAGTGCAATATGGCCAGGATGATGTACTGCAATTAAATTACTCTTAAAAAATAGTTTTGATTAGATGTGTATTTGAACAATAGATGGTAACTTTTATTTTTAATTTTCTAACAGCTATGAAAAGAAAAGTCAAACTGTATTTTGATTTTTTATATAATTCGATGAAAAAGTCTAAACAATTTGGATGTGGCTCATCGGTGTGTGGATATTTACTGGATTATATCTCGAGATTATATGAATGGTTTCTTGATGCTGATGCACTGGAGTTAGAGGCTTTTTTCCCCCCTCTAGTGGTGAGTCAGTGGTTGTTGTTGGTCAGATAGTTGTTCTGTCCATTTATTCAACAATTAAGTCCAGAGCAGATTAACTTTATTTTATTATCCTTTATCACCATCTAGCATCCATGGAAAGTAAAGTACAGTTACTCAAGTACAGTTTTAAGTAGAATTTTCAGGTATTTGGACTACTTGGCAGTTAAAACTACATTACTGCACTGTGTTTCAGATGAACTATCCACGTGAATGATATTGTAATTTAGTAGAGCACTCAGCACCACCTAATGTGCGCAGAGAATATTACAAGAGAACACAAGAAACTGGAAACACTGTCAGTGGATCATGATTTTATTTTCAGCTTCATGCATTAAGAACACAAAGACATTGAGGTGATGTTAGGCAGAAACAATAATGTGTTAACATATACAGTGTCTGTTGTGAAATATGAGGAAGGGTTGGAGCTAAAGTTACACTTTTCTTAAGCTGACTAGAAATCATATTAACTGCCAGAATAACCTGTGTGATAACTTAGATCAGAAACTTGGATCTTTGAAGAAATTCATGTTTTAAGCATTCATGAGTTTTTTTATTTGTATACCCCATGTTCACAGATCACAATTTGTCTCATAGGGCTTAACATGGTGGGACATCGTCTGTCCTCAACCCTCAACAAGAGTAAAAGTACCAAGAACCTATTAGCAGGGGGAAGAAGTCATTAAATCTATGCTGTAAAATATAATCATCCGCCAATCCAAATAATACCACGTTATAAAAGTGACAGACAGAAACCATGAATTAAAAACTAGCAGTCAAAGAAAAATACAAGATAAGAGCTTCAGATTGGATTAATACAGCAATGAAGCCAAATTAAAACTTGTTAAAGGGAAAAAGTTATTACCAAACCAAACACAGCTTTGGATAGGAAGTGTTTTAAAGCCAGGAGGAAAGCACATATTTTATATTTACACATTTCTGCATTTAATCATCCACTGTAATGCTCCCACATTTCCCATGAGATTGAAAATATCATCCCTTTTAAAAGTAAAGGTTTTTTGTCTTGAATAGCAATGGGTTTCAATTATTCCTTCAGAATATGTTGATGTCGGTCTTCACAGTTGTCACATTTGTTTTTAAATTACCCTCCTAATCATAAAAATGACTCCTACTACTACTATTAGTAGTACTGCACTGTAGCCCTGTACTCAAACTGACAATAAAGAACAAATAATAAAGACGACACATCATACATATTGCACTATACAATATCAAGAATAAGATTTTACTGAAAAAAGAGAAAAACTGCAGCAGGAAGGCATGAAAAGAGGGCAGAAGAAGAGAGTGGTTCTATACTGTGCCCAAAAAAAGTCAAGTCCCTCCAACATCATAGTTATTGTATTATTTATCAAAAGGGGGTATAGAATATAAGGGCGCGACAGCAATCATAGCATTCCTGTCATATTCATTCAACATTCATATTACTTTCTGTAGATAAGGAACGAGCTAAAGTGCATCATATCTGAAACCAATGGAATTCCTTCCACTGATGTGAATATTAAATTACATCGCTCTACTTTGCTGGCACCAGGGTGGAGGTTGACGACAACCCTCCAGGTTAATCCTGAAAAACTGTCTGAGGAAGGTAAATTAATCTGCTTTGACATCCTCTTTGAAAAGTTACACAAAATACCCCCTCTTAACATCATATCTGACCTGCGGATGGAAAAAAGTGGTTTGGAATTTAATAATGGATGAGCCACTGGGACAAATTTAAGAAATTATATGTTGCTGTTCAGTAATCCATTGACACTGTGCAAGAATTCCCTACATGGAAGTCATCCCAGTCGATCTCTGAGAACCTTAGTTACAGCAGTGTGTGACACCGGGGTCTCTTGCTTGCCTTATTGGTAGACCTGCACATGCCCGTGCAAGGAGGTGGTGTTCCCACCACAGTCCACATACTGGTACATCTCCTGGGAGACCTGCTCCGCGTGTCCGAAGTACGTTGCCGTCACCGTCACCCTGAAAAATAACCACACATTTAACTAATGAACAGAAAACAATAAAGTGAGATGTGCTGAGTCATTCAGGAAGTTTGTCGGTTAAAATTTCTGTCAGGATTGGAGCTTCAGTAGAATATATTTTTTCTCTGGAGGGTTGGTGCAGTTTAAGTAGTATTTTCACTCGTCTGTTTGTTGGCAAGATTATGCAAAAACCAACTGGACAGATTACCAGTTGGTGGAAAGATGTAGTGTGAGTCAGCAATGACTCAAAATGTTGGTGCGGATCCTTTAACATGATCAAATCAACTGATGCTCCTTCACATGACTCAATAAATAAGACGCTAACAGTCATACTAACTAATTTAAAAGGTCATACTTACTGCATCATGACCACTATGTTGTGAACTTTAATGGTTGGCAAAGTGCAGTAGTCACTGAAAGAACGGAGATTCAGATTGAAAATGATTATCATGAAAGTGTATAATCATTCAAGTGTCAATAGTAAATTCTTTAGGACTTATAAGTGAAATACTCACAACATATAACTCTTCTCATCAACAATGGTGGTGGGGACTGTGTAGTCGATCTGCAAAAACAATTTATTAAACATTTGAGAATGAAGTATGGTTATAAAACTGATATATTTTAGAGCAGTCACATGACTCTGAAGTCTGAGGTAAATCTGACAAGGTCTGCTTGGTTTTGTGACTGTGGGGGTAACAAGGAGCTGCTGTGTGCGTTTCACATGACGCAGTCAAATGTGGATCAGAAGTTTACTTCCTTCACTTCTATGAAACTGAGACAGAAATAATTCGTTTTCTTACTGTGTTCGTAGTAAGAAGTGTTCCAACCCACCTGCTGTTCATCCAGTGGTATGATCACTGTGCTGTTGCTAAACTTGGTCTTCCCTATCACCGTCTTGGAGAACTGCACTTGTGCAGTGATGCTGGTCACAGATATGGCGTAGTAGTTGTTATTGGTGATCTTCAGAGTGTTCTTTGTGAAAAAGGAAATACAGTTTTAGATTCTGGCAGCAGAACAGAAGAAGGAAAAACTTGGGTATAAGATTTTTTGTGGCTTCTTGTGGGCAGCAGAAACAAGCTATAGACACAACACTGACATTATTATCATCGCATTATATTTTAATATGATGAACTAGTCTGCAAACAGTGGCTTACATACACATGTATAAGACACAGAGCAACATTATTCTTCATTATCAGTCATGTTTATGGCTATACAGCCATAGAGTGAATCTAAGGAGGAAAAGTGCTCTTCAGTTCTGACAAATATACTTTAGACAACAGGACATCTCCCCAAAAGTGATGCTAAACTAAAAAGTACCAATCAAATAAACCTTTCCCAATGATGGTTTCTATTTTTTTAGGTAGTTCTTATCACACTGAAAATCGTGTGTCAGTTTGTCCAGTAAATTTTGTTGTAATAAATGACTTGATTATGTTATAAACTGAGTGAAATCAGCTGAGATTGACTCGCCATTGGTTGAACACGTGTATTACATTTAAATATCTGTTCTCCCCAGAACGATGGGACACCATCAGTCTCAAGCCCTGAGTTTAGTTTATTGTGATCCTCATGAAATGCAGCATTGTGTTGCCAAACTATACAATCTTACTGTTATGTTGAGATAGACGATTCGTTTGTCCTGGTCATAGGAGACGTAGGCAGACTTCACTCCCACGTAGGATACATCAATGGAGCGAGGGAAGAGGAAGAAAACAGCCAGACCTGACAGCAGCAGGCAAAGAGCCACCGATATTGTGACATATAGTTTTCTGCAGGAGAGGAGAAAGAGAAGTGGGACCCTGAAACCAGCTGATGACTTCAGAGTTTAACACGCTACTGCGTGTTTGTAGAGTTTCATCATACAGACAGCTAACACAGTTTATCTCTAAAAGCACAGTGCGTGCTGACTTACGTCCTGCTTGGCCTGAGCCTTTGGTCGCTGTATGGAATCAGAGCCACCAGCTGATTCTCTTGACCTGTTGAGTTATTAAAAGAAAAGGAGAAGCTGTCACTTTACTATCGGAGTGAGTCAGGAGCAGGTTGGGAGTTTTGCACCATTTAAGACTGTTGTAGAACTCAGAGAGGAAGAATCTTAGCCAACAGCTGTATTGTTAGGTTGACTTTCTACTTACTTTCAAATAATAGATAATTTTATCAATGATTTATTCTGAACCATTTCATGCATTGATTATTAAGCTCCTGGGTTCGATGATTTGTCATACTATAATAAGACTTGAGATGAAATACAATGGATGTTTAACATTTAAATTACTCTTAACTTTGTCTGTAAATTTGGAAAAGGTCTATCACCTAAAGAAACCCAATTTTTTCCCTTTTTTCTCATTATTATAATGGATTCTAATTGATTATATATATTATATTTGGAAATACATGCATTTTGATTTCTTGTGACACTGAGTGAGTCGGACATATGAACCCATTCAAAGGCTGAATTGAATGCAAACATTGAGCTGTTAGAGGCCTCTACACTTGTGCAAATGAAACCTTAGCTTGGTAACAAAGTGTCTTCAAGCCAACAGAGTTATATCCATATGCCCGAGATCCTTTGCCTCTTGAAATATACCTTAATTATAATGCATCACACACTGACGCTAGTTTCGTACGTATAAACGTGTCTTGTAGTTTTCTATCATCACGTCACAAAATCTTTGAGAATGAATCAGGGGTTTAAAGTGCACTGCTCTTTATATAGTCTTAAAACCGATAAAGGCGATTGACAGATAAAGAGGATCACTTTTTATCCCACAGCAGGGAGAGTTGCCATGTTACAGCATTAACGGAGAAGCATCAGTAAAGAGATTGTACAGACAACTGAAGTATTAGACAGTTTAAATGAAATTACACCTGAGTGAACTTGTTCTGCAATTGTTTGTCTGAACCTTTTTGCTTGTGATAAACCATCCACTCCTCCCAATAGACTAGACATTAATTGCTCATATCTAGAAAGTTTTACCTCGTGGGATTCTGCCAGTGCCCTGACATGTGGGGCACGTTACGCTGTCCCGGCCAGTGAACTCCACGTAGGGGAACTGAGACACGTCTCCATTTTTGCCGTCCTCTTCTGTCTGACCGTCTCTGTACTCGCCATTACTCGTCAGCGCGTCCTGGCTCTCGTCTTTGTGTTTGGCGAAGTGTGACTGGGACTTGCCCATTGCTGCAGCTGTCTGTACACAACACAAAAGATGGTGTGAACAGAGAGAGGGAGAGAGAGGAGCAGGCGTAGGGGTAGAGCAGGGTGTGCTGACAAACCACATGCCAGGTAGCCATTTGAATGTAAAATTGGACCTGGACACATTCCAGTAACTAATCAACTGCACGGTGCACTTTCAAAGTTTTGAGAACATCCGCTGTTATACCTCAGAAATAATTCTGTTCTATTGAACTTGCAAGTGCGCTGATGATAGAATCATAGAATACAACTGTTGCTTAATTTCTCTACAATTTTATCCTTGCACTTGTGTAGTATCCTTCAAAAGTGACCATACCATTAATTACACAGTGTTAGCAAGTGAACATTATTTTTCTACCACTGCATGTTTTGGTTAAATCACCTGTAGTATTCAGAGGTAGAAAGTTAATACTGTCTCATAACCTACCCAATGTACATGCAACAGTATAGAGAGTTACACATTAATATATGTGTAATTACAATAATGTAGTAATATGGACTATTCCAAAATGGGCTGTTCAACATACAATATACTTTTAGTTTAGTATATTTGGATGCAGCCCTTCAATGATTCGCCTATCAGTCAATCAACAGGAAGTTCATACACAGCATATTGATAATCATATATTGTTTTATTATTTATTAAACCTTTACTCTTTATCAAAATAAAATGACTATCTGTATTTAGACCAAGCAAAAAGAGATAAAACAAGTCATTGTTCACTATAGTATAGTCAGAATATCCAAGTACTTGTACTCAATAACTTAACTACAATCTTGAGGTACTTTACTGAGTTTACTCGACTACATTTCTATAGGACATACTGTATTTCTTAATCCTTTAAAAACTTCTCATGGGCTCATAAATACAACACAGTTTAGTTTGAAATAAATGGTTTCACACTACTTTGACATATAAGCAACTGATAGAGTTTTTTGGTATTTCTACTACTTGTGCCAAACACTTTCCAGATGGAAATTAAGTATTCAGGTACTCTGAGAGGATCATGACGGAGGATGCAGTACTTGTGGTGGTAATGGAGTATTTTGAATCTCTCCTAGTGGTACTTGGTGTTAGGCCACTGCAGCAGCTGATGCTAACAGCTAACACTAAACAGTGCGAGCAGGTGATCACGGTGATAATGAGAATATCTGTGAAACCACAGACGATGCAGGAGCAGGATCTCGTGTCCGTGAACACAACACGGATAACAACGGCTCAGACCGCCATGCTGCTGCTGAGCCTCAGCCGGGAACACGACGTCCCGGCCGCGGGAACACGACCACAACCCCCCCGCTCTCTCTCTCTGACGACCATCGAACGATATGTGTGTTTAGTCTGTTATTCTATTGTCCTCAAACACTGTCCCCAGGGAGGATCCAGCGTTTAATTCAGATTTGTCGCGAATTGACGGCGGATCTGCGCAGATCAGATCGCTCTGCATCACAGAGATAAATAAACAGCTCCACCGTTCATTTCATCTTATTTATCTTTATCTTTATTGAACATCTCACCTCTTTTCTGTTTTAGTCCGTCTCGATTTCCATCCGTTTCGTCGTCGCTGCTTTGTTATGGTTTTTTTCTCCGGTGAGGACTGAAGCCGACACCCCCTCCTCTGCTCATTGGACGGACTGATGTCAGCGGTGATGTCGGTGGCACTGGTGTCCAGAACAGACTCCAGCCATACACCCCCCCTCCCCCCCACACACAATGACACACGTTTGTACTTGACCATCCAAACTAAATACCTAACCCTTAACCTTAACCTAATCCTAACACAAAAATCTAGTTGTAAAAGAACACACACAAACACACTGCATAATGTCACAACACAGTCTGCAGAAACACACACACACACACACACACACACACACTGTGTCATGTTACAACACAGTCTGCAGACACACACACACTGTAACATGTTACAACAACACACTGGTGTTCAAAATAACACAGTGAGACGACGTCACAGTGAACACACCATGTAACATCCTGATCGTTACAGTAGAAGTATATTTTTCTTGAGTAAAAACACAAATAAAGTTGCAAAATTAAAAACTTTACTCAGGTGAAAAGTGCAATCAGATAGAATTTAAAAATTATAAGGCCGCTCGAGTCAGGACAGTCATGAATAAGAAAAGACATTTATAGCTGTATACAAGGTATTGAGTATACTATAAAAACAGTATGAGTATTCCTCAGACCAAATGGACAGTGCTTGGAAACACTGTCCCACAGATCCAGACAACATTCATGATGTGGGTTGGCTGCACTTCCTGGAAAATCTCCTCAGCTGACAGACATATGTCAAAGAAGGTCTTGCTGTGACCAAGTTTTCCCACAGCCACTGCCATTGTCACCATTGATCAGCCATAATTTGCCATGTTATTACATTACACTGCTCAAAACAGCCGCTCTTCATTGGAAACTGTCTCACAGGATTAAAAACAAATGCCAAGAGGCTTATAAACAGTACAGTTAACACTTCACTTGTTTTACTCTCACTACTTTAAACCATTGTTTGGGGACAATGGTATTTGCTTCACATAAATAACCTATCTCAGCTAAAAAATATACGTAACATGAAATATTTAAATACATTTATATTTGAGTCAGAAATTACGTAAGAAATGTCTATTTGATAAGGCACCTTTCACAGAGAAAAGTCACAAAGTGCTTCACAAAAGCACAGTTGTTAAAAACGAAACAATAAAATAACCATACAGCACAAACACACATTTGGACAACCAAACAGTAGGAAACCAGACAAAGGCCATTTTGAATAAACAGGAGGAGGAGACACAATATTCAGTTGTTCAATGCCGTCTCAACTTCCTGGAATTTGTCCCAAGGTCTGAAGTATCCAAATAAGTGTTTTCACTCTGGAAAAGATACAAACCATGGTTCAGCTTGATCTGGACAGAGACCACTTCTTTTGATTCGACTGAAATGTCAAACCTATTTTCATGGTTCTGTCTAAACTAAAAAGTCAGAAAGTCCAGAACAAACAAGGTTGAAGACGCAGAAAGAGATAAAGACCCAGTACACTGGGAAACTTCAGAATCCAGTGGACAACACAGAACAGTTACAGCCATGTGCTCTCCAACAGCCAGATGATGGCAGTGTGGTGCCACGTGTGAGTGAATCACTCAGCAGCACCGAGCCAGAGCATCCTCATAACAAGGCAACATCAAATTATAGCAATAATAGATTTATTTTAGTCGGTTTAATCTCTGTATGTCAGAGCAGCCACTCTGAATAATGCATGACCTGGCAAGCTGAGGGAGAAGTACACTTAGAAAAAAGCTAATCGAAGCAATAAACTGTAATGCCTAAACACTGACCTGGGTCAGGAAAACACTGGCAAATATCAATTAGAGTTTGTTTTGAGTGCCAGCTGGATCTCGTTTAAATATTTGGGACCAAAGATATTGTGTATTGTATTTTTCTTAATACTTTTACTGTGGTTGTTAAACTCACTTATGAGTCCTTCTACAGTGCTGTGTGCAGCAACCATCTGGCAGTAACATTAAAAATGTGCTGAAAATAAATAGCACATTTTGACACTGGTTGGCTTTAACAATGACCTACTTGGCATCGTCAACAGGTTTGTTATAATGCCAGTGATAATGACAGAAATCAACATTGGGCCTGAATATCCCCGTAAATAGAGATTTGCTAAAATATGTTTTTTAATTATCTGCACTCACAGTGTTTTGTAAATTTTTTATGACCAAAATATATATATACTGTGAATTTCCTCAAGTAAATGGTGAACGAAGCGGAATATGTGTCCTCCAGTTCACTCCAGGACTGAGGGTGCAGATCCGCTGCCGCTGATTCAAGAGTTTGGGATCGGAGTACTTCCTCTTCAATTATTTACTGGGTTGGAAATTACCATGAGCTATGTCCAAGCGGGTGGTGGTGGATTTGTTGCTCTGCAATTTGGAAAGCTACCAGCCATTGTTCAGAGCTCCGGTTGCATCTGAAGGAGGCTGTCACACTGATCTGAATCATTGTGGGAAAGTTTTCCTGTTATGTTAATCTTTTTTAACACTCGGTTACAGATTTTTAAATTTTGGATTACATTTCCTGAAATCCGTTTTCCATTAAAGTTGGTGGAAGGATGGGACATTGGCCAAGAATGAAACCATAAAAGTTTGGCACAGATCTGGATGAAGAGACAGAGCTTTTGATTGATCAACATTTCTCTCCTGACGACCATAACACTTTGTGTGTTGTGATTGTTTCTTGCTGCATCACATTCTTACCTACAACAAACCAAACTGCATTTTACTTCAGTTTGACGTCATAGTGAGGATATTTGATCCCACCAACTGCCAGAGAATCCATCCCTAGAAGAAAATGCGCACTGTCAACGTTCTTGTGATAAACTTCGTTCTTGCCAGTGGGCAAATGGGTTCACTTCCTGCCCTGCTAATTCACGCAGTAGTCTGTCTTCCACAATCTGACAGTCCTTCCCTGTGCAACTCACAGCACCAGTGCATTCGTTGTAGTACATAGAGAGGACTAATTCATTTTGAATCACGGTGAGGCAGACACATGAAAACACCTCAGCACTAGTCTGAGGAGGGAGGTTAAAAGTGGCAGTGCTGGTCCAGTCTGCTGTGTGAGGAAGCTGCCTGTGTGTTCACGATAAGAGGGAGTGACTGGTGAGGACACGTCAGCCTACTTCAGGTGTCAGCACTTCAAACCAGAGGCACGGCTTCACAGGGAATGTGTAAAACTCCATATTGCAGAGGTGAAGTGGAGGATATTCTGATTTAGTAATATTTGATGAAAAAAGAGAAGAGAAATGAATCCTCGCAGCAGTGACTCGCTGAATTTCTGATCTTGGATTCTTTCTGCTTTTTTCTTCCTCTGGCTCATGAGAGCATCCACTTTATATTTAATTGACAAGCCTCTCATGGTATATTATGACAATTTACAGCATTGCAGCGAAAGACCACTAGAGTTATTAGACATGATCAAACATATAATACCAAATACCACCAAGCCTGTTTGACGTGATGAGAAATTACTGTGCTTCATTGAGAGGTGTACACTTATCAGTCCCAGTCTTGAAATGTTGGACCGGTGATAAACTGCAGTGACATTGCAAATAAACAGCAATGACTTAGCTTTTAATCCTATAATAACAGCCTCTTAAGTGAATTGAAATGTACTTGTCTTGAATTGCTTTGTACAAACTGCTCAAATGCAGTTAATGATAATACTAATTCACACGATTTTCAGACTTCATGAAAAGTAATAACAGTAATCATATGTTAGAATGAATAAATAAGTCTGACTGGGCTGGTGGCAGCATAAATATCATTCATCATGGGTATTTGTCTGCTTTCAAGAATACAGCCAGTGTAGACACATCCTGGTAATTATCATAAAGTGGGATTACACACCCCAAAATCTTTGGTATTTTGAAATGGATTCTCAGTAGGAATGCACACACCCAACAGAGACAACATAAAAAGACTGCAGCATGGAAAAATAGCATATATAACAAATTTAACAGGGATTCATCATGGTCTGACCCAGCAGGAGAAGGATTTATTTTTGCACAGGACTTACTAAACATTTTACGCAGCAGAGAGAAGAAGCAAGCGTTGATAAAAGGATGAAAGAAATCGTCCGTGTGCCTGCACATTATGTTAGATTTTGCTAAATATGTAGAACAAATTGAATCCGCAATTTGCAAATGAGTGACGTTTGCTGTTAAGTGAATTAAATTAGCAGAATTTATGATAAGAGTGTTTCCAATTTTTGAGTTTTTAAGGAATTTGACAGCTCATTTCCCCTGACATCAAATACAAGCACATCTGCTGCTTGCACATGTGAAGAAATGGTTACAGAGATTATCCGAAAATATGACAGTAAATTCTTTAATGGGACAATTAATCAGACATTTGCTGCTTTCAGTTTGTTCCACTGTTGATGCTAAAAAAGTGTCCTGCACTAATTGACGTGGAAAATAAAGACCAGGGACTCAGTCCACAGAAACCTGGAGCTGCACCACCTTTGCTGCACAAAGTGCTGTTCACCTGTTTATTTAAAGTTTGATGAAGCTCTATTCAATGCGCAGAAGTGGATAATCAGTTGTAGTTGCCGTTGTCTTGAATGCACCCTTTGTTGTGAATGTGCTGATGTGATAAACAAAACCAATGACGCCACTACAGAGCGCTGGTTGCCTGAAATCTTGTTAAATTCGTCACTGCAATCCCTCGGGCCCTGAACAATACACGTGTAATGCCAATAAGATTAATATTTACAGTAAATAGTTATTAAGATACGTGAGCGACGTACAGACATACAGATTTTTGGAGTTTTTTGATAGAATGGCATGGAAGGAGTGCCTTGACATGGACAGTAATTCGTTGTAGTTCAGATAAAAGAGCTTGAACCTCAATCCAGCAGGAATCCAGCAGGGCTACTATCTGCTTCTGGGCACATGACCAACACTCATCTGCTGTGACACTATAGTGACCGGACAGACCCCAGCAGGGAGTCTGTCAAATCATTCCAAGCAGATCTACCACCATGCCTGCTCAGTTTACAGTATCCAATTGTTGTCTTGTGCAGCTGACCCGTGATTCAACTCTGTCCAGCTCCGTTCATATCTGTCTGGCTCTGCCC